GGTTTAGGGCTTCGGGTTTAGGGCACCACTCGTTTGATGTATGGTCTGTGTATCAGACACCTTTTCTATGCTGTTGCGGGAAATCTTCAAGCCCCCACATCATGCAGTATGAAAGTTCAGTAACGTGTTCGGGGAAGCTGCTACAGATGGCGGCAATGACTGCTAATGTTGATATTGTTGGTCTTGCGTCCAGTCATGTTCTTTGGAGCGGCGTGATCATCAGTTTAGATTTGCTATTACAACTGCTATTGCCTACTGAGACCCACTCACAGTGCTGATGCTGGCAGAATGTTGGCGCTGCTATTGCTGCTGTGCTGCTATTGACCCCTGATGTTGCTGTTCTCGGCGCTGCTGCTGCTGCTGCTGCTNNCCGCTGCAGCTGCAGCTGCAGCTGCAGCTGCAGCTGCTGCTGCTGCTGCTGCTGCTGCTGCTGCTGCTGCTGCTGCTGCTGCTGTAGTCGTTGCTAGCTTCTCACACCGCCGAAGAGCTGGATAATGATCATGGTTCTAGCCTTCATCCTACCCATCTTCAGCTCATAACCGTCATCATGACATCCTCATGGGTATGAAACCAATACCATCATTCGCCTGTTGCGGCCGTCGTCTTAGTGTATATCGTGTACATTTAGCAGGCTGCTATCGCTTTCGCTATGATGCTGAAGCTATGAGATTTGCAGGTACGATAATGCTGATCTAGACGAGGTGGGGAGCTGTTGCTGTTAGTGGCGGCGATAGGAGCGGCGGTGGTCGTGGCGGTGGAAGTCGAGACGTTGGCAGCAGACGTGACCGCAGTGTTGCTGCAAGTACTTTGGGCCTGCGCTGTGTTCTGCAACTTCGGTCCTTTCTTAAAGGATGCGGCGGCCACGTAAGTAGGTTTTGAGCAGGGGCATCATTCTACATATGGCCGGGTTAGGACATACTTGACATATCCTCGGATCGTTCAAATGCTCATTACTGTGAGGGGTGAAAATTAGGGTTTAGGGTTTAGGGGCTTAGGCTTCAGGGTTTAGGGTTTAGGGTTTAGGGTTTAGGGCTGAGGGGTTTAGGGTTTAGGCTCATGTCCTACAGCCTGCCTTGCAGGCAGAAACGAAGAGCCGAATTGCTTTGGATTCGGAACAGATTGAAATTCAGCTCTGACCAAACTTATATGGAATTCAAATAATAATAATAAGAAGAAGAAGGAGCCCCCAAAATAGTATAGGTAATTACTAAGTCCCCAACATTATAACCTATAAGCTGAAGCACCTTCTCAAGCTTCAAAGACGAAGCGATCGACGAATATTGGGGCCTTACATATAGTTTCCATTGTAGTTCCTTTTTGGCGTTACCTCTTAGGATCCTTAATATAAAATTGGTTAAGCCAAAAAAGGAACTACAATGGAGACTACAGGTACAGTTGTAGAACAGGATTTTGGTGGATATGATGCTGCAAGTATGTTGGGACCACAAGGGAAGACTATGTATTACCAAATAGTCAGGCCCCCGCAGTAAGCCCCCACCCCCCCCCCCACCATATTTTCACACCATTGCACAACCCTACAAATTCTGCAACACAGTAAATTCACACCCCTCAAAGTGTTTGCAACCCCATGAAAGCCCTCGAAACACCCCCAACACACTGAACATCCCCCAACCTTTCATACCGAAAGCCCCTCAGACCCCAAGGAAACCGCCTTACAACCCTAAACCCTAAACCTAAACCATAAACGCAAAGCCCTAAACCCTAAACCCTAAGACCTAAACCCTACACCCTAACCACTAAACCCTTCAAAAGAAGACCGCCTCCCCATCTGCTCCTTCCGCCGCCGGCACGTGCCTCTCAGGGATCCAGCACAGCTCAAGGCTGGTTTAGGGTTTAGGGTTCAAGCTTTAGGGCTTCGGGTTTAAGGTTAAGGGCTTAGGGTTTAGGGTTTAGGGTTTGGGCGGTTTAGGGTTCAAGGTTTAGGGTTTAAGGTTTGGGCCTTTCGGTTAGGGGTTTGGAGGGTTTGGGATGGGCTCCATACGGGTGATATGAGGGTTCAGGGTTTTAGATTTAGGCTTTGATGTTTCTATACGAGCTTACGCAAGGTGTCTATGCAAGTTTTAAATAATAAACCCTGAATGCTAAACCCTGAACCCCAAACCCTAAACCCTAAATTTTAAGCAGTTCCTTTTTGGGTTGGGGTTTGGCGATTTCAGCTTGGGGTTTGCGGTGTAAGGTTTCAGGCTTCGGGTTCAGGGTTCTCGCTTTGGGTTTGTGGGTTTGGGCTTTCGAGTTTTCGGTTTGGGGGTTTTGGGTTTGGGCTTTAGGGTGTTGGGCTTGGGATTTAGGGATTTCGGTTTGGGGCATGTCGGGGCAACCGCAGTGAAGAAGCTCCGAGACGCGGTGCCGCTTTAGCCCAAATGGCAGGGATAATTGCAAGCGGAGCAGCAGCACGGAATCTCACAAGAAAAAAACCATCGTTGTGGAAGAGGAACCTTGTCCCAGTTGCTCGCGGAGGCGAGCCGACCGAGAATCGCTACCTATGCCTCCTGGTCGGCGGGACAGGTGAGGCAGCTGATCTCCAACAAGCGCCAGCAGATGAACGATCAAGATTCCCAGAGACTCCAATACCCCTTCATTAAGGAATATACCTTGAATTATACTCAGATCCCTGATAGGATTTAAGGTATATTCCTTAATTACGGGGAATTGGAGTCTCTGGATTCGACACCAAAGGGCTTGGCATCGATGACGAGGAATCAGCTGATGGCGGAGTCTAGAAGCTGAACATCGAGGCCCCAACAGGGCCCACGAAGACTCGACGACCTAGGGAAAGGAGAACTACGTGGTCAGCTTCGGGAGCCACAACGCGAAGCTAGTTCGCGAAGTGCCGGTGGCGTGTCTTCAGTGGAGCCTGGAGGAGGTGCATGCCCGCGGTCGCGAGGGATACTTCCGGACACCCCAGGAGTGTGTTGGGCAGCCTATTTGCAGGTACATAGCTTGTAATGTAGACCCCTGATCAATAAGACCACCTCCCCTTCAATTGCAAGGATTATCACAGAGATCCCAATATTAAGGCCATGAAGGCAGGGGGAATGTATTAATGAGGGTCTACATTACGGAAGCATCCTGAAAGGTGGCTAAACAGCCAACACCCGTTCAGCGTGCAGGGTGATAGTTAAGGTGCTGCTTTTTGGACTGAGGATGGTTCTGGTCAATTGTTCCGAGTTTGGGGACTCAGAATTAGAGGGGCCTTCATGAGGAAGATAGTGCTTGGGCGGATCTTAGCATGCATCTGTAGTGCAAGTCTGGAGGGTTTGGGGGGGTGTGGGGGCCGGGAAAGTTGGGGGGCATATCTTAGTAAACGTATAGAAAGGCTTGGTGGGACAAAACAAGGTGAACAGTTATAAAGGGCTCAGGGGGTATATTACGGCACAACTACAGTAACTACATAGGGTTCGGGGGTGTATCATAGACTTATTCTGTGGGACTTCACGGGTGACAAGAAACATAAGGGGCCCTGGCCAGCAATCAGCAGAGCTTTCACAAAGTGTTTGGGTGGCTTTCCGGAGCAACACAGGGGCCTCCTCCACTGTTTCCGTTGATATCCGAACACGTCTTACCCTGAAACCCGCACCCAACCTTCGCCCGAAAAAAACTTAAAATCTTAGCAAGAATTGGGGTTGAGGTTTAGGGCTTGGGGTTTCCACCAGATTTCGTCCACCGGGCCTTGTTTTCCTCTCAGCACATAGGGGAAGTCATTATGACTAGGACACTCAGTGATTAATTAGGGTCCCTTTTTAGGTTTAGGGTTTAGGGTTTGGGGTTTAAGGTTTAGGGTTTAGGGCTTCCCCTAAACCCTAAACCCTAAACCCTATTACTAAACCCTAACCCTAAACCCTATTACTAAACCCTAAACCCTAAACCGGGGGACAGCAGCAAGTGTCGGCGCCTGTCCGTCGGAAGCGGAGGCCTAGGCCAAGGCGGCGGCCTGAGCCATATTCTGTCTGGTGCCCTACTACGTATACACCTACTATATACCCTATATGTACCCTTAAGGGTCCCTAGAAAGGCCTAAGACTCCATATTAGTGGCCCATACTTCTAGCCTCAGATAGTGGGGAATGGGGGAATGGATCCCTATGATAGTCCCTTAAGGTCCCTTATAGTAGTCCCTATTACCCATTCCCCCATTCCCTGCTATGCACCAGACAGTATTGTCAGCACCTCTATGCTCTTAAACCCCGACACGATTTAGGGTTTAGCGGTTTGGGGTTTAGGGTTTAGAATTTAAGGCTTAGTGTCTGAACTGGTGAAATTTGTATGCCCAGATCTGGACCATGTAGTCGCTGTGTATAGGCATACTACAATATACCCCAACAGCCTATAAGAGTTGCAAAAGCCCCTTTTCTTGGACACCCTCCCCAGGTTTCTAGGGGTTGGGCAGGTTTGGGGATTCGGGATTCCGGAAACATCTGCGATGAGACCCTACCAGCCTCAGCTACTGCTGAGTGGCCCCCTTTTGGTGGCCCCAGCCCTCTCTGGACCTTCTCAGCATCGCCTTCGAACCGCTGTGCGACCTTGTACCCCTAAACCCTAAACCCTAGACCACGTGGTCGAGGCGTCAGCTGGAGACGGTCATAGCGGAACTGGGCCTTGTGCCTGAAACCCGAGAAGTGCTTGGATGGCTTCGATGTGCACTGCTTCAATGGGGGCCGCTCTTCCCAATGACCAAAACCGCCCAGGTCGTCGTGATGTAGGGGCCTTAATAGTTTTAATAGG